AAAGAAACAACAAAATTCAAGGGCGCGGGGAGGGTTCTCTCTCTCTCTCTCTCTCTCTCTCTCTCTCTCTCTCTCTCTCTCTCTCTCTCTCTCTCTCTCTCTCTCTCTCTCTGTCTGTCTGTCTGTCTGTCTGTTGCTGCACGAGTATTGTAAAAAATGGGAATGAATCTTCCGCTACAAGGCGGGATGATTCATTCACATCTGGCAGTGACTGCCCCGCTGTGAAGGCACAGAGAGAGAGAGAGAGAGAGAGAGAGAGAGAGAGAGGCAGAACACACTGCCTCTCTCTCTCTCTCTCTCTCTCTCTCTCTCTCTCTCTCTCTCTCTCTCTCTAGTGTGTTTGCTAGACTACTCTGAAAAATGGGAATGAATCTTCCGCCACAAGGCGGCATGATTCATTTGTCTTTTTCTTTTTCTTTTGCTCTCTAACCCGTGAAGGCAGAGAGATAGATAGATAGAGAGAGAGAGAGAGAGCCGGCGCATTGCGCGGCTGGCCGCGTCGAACACGCCGCCTCTGTCTCTCTCTGTCTCTCTCTCTCTCTCTCTCTCTCTCTCTCTCTCTCTCTCTCTCTCTCTCTCTCTCTCTCTCTCTCTCAGAGGGAACAATGTAGTGTCGGCCTTGCTTTTTCCGTTGTTGTTGTTTGTTTGTTTGTTTTTCACGTATGAAGTTTTCTTTGTCTTTTTTTTTTTTTTTTTTTTCATTTCGTTCCAATAAAATGTTTGTAAAATGCCTTGTGACTCATCTACCGGTAGTCGCAGGCTCGGCGTGGTAGCCGTAGGCTTTGCCTACAGGTAGTTGCAGGGACGGGCCTTGAACACCGGTAGGTACTGGTGGTTTAAGCAAATGTTTTCATGAATTTTATGCTCTTCCTTTCTTTTCTCATTCAAAAGATCTATATTTTTACAGTTCATCTGTGCATCGACTGAGCTTGGCCATTGTCCGTGCTCTCTTCTTCTTCTTCTTCTTCTTCTTCTTCTTTAGTGCAGTCTGGCAGACCGCGGATCAGACAGTAAGCTGATCACAACACTTGATGGTTTTTTTTTCTTTTTTTTTTTTTTTTTTTCAACACTTGATGTTACTTAGAAAGGCATTATTGGTCATGCTCTCTTCTTCACTGGGCTTACCTCCTCTCTTTTTTTTCACTAGTTCTATCCATCTCCAGGGACCCAAGGACTCCACATATCAAAATGACAAAAGTCTTGAGCGGCCGGCAATGGCATAAGGCCATAAAAGACTCCATCGGACATCAGGGCACCTCCATTCCATGGGATGATATAGGGCCTGACTCCACTACTCAACCAAATGTGCAAAATGAGTGAATCTTCTGCTAGAACATGGGAAGATACATACACCGCCATATTTCTTTGTCTTTTCTGCATGTGGTAAGCCCGGTCCGTGGACAACCCAACCCGTCACCACCCGTCGCCTGGCACCGGTGAATGGTTTCTTCTGAACAGGGCAATAACTCTGAGAATCATACATCCACCAGCTCTGTTTGGGTGCGCGCGACAGTTCAAGGAGGGTCTCCCTTCCCTTCCCTCCTCTTGCAGGCAAACAGTGAGTGTGACCTTTCTCAGTCTTCATTCCAAAGGGGGACAATTTTCACACAAAGCCCATGCCTCAGAGCCACAACTGCTTCGGATCCTCGAAGCGGCTCAAGGGCATATACTCACACTGGCACTTTCCTAATCGTTTTCTGACCGCAGTTACAGCCCAACCTGGATGAATCTGACCGCAATCATGTCCAGAGCTCAGTTGAAAAAAGCCTTCGTGCTCGCATTCCTTCACAGAGACGAACACCATCTACAAAACTTCTTCCAATACCCGCACAGACAGGACACAGCTGTGCAGATCACAGCACATCCAGGCACTTGGTATGCATAGCTTCTTATTTGCCCACCTCAAAACCGCCAGTACACGGCCTCAGCCTTAGGGAGAAATCTTCCACCGACTGCGAAAAACTCTAGGGCTCAGGGCTACCGGACCACAACGGCTGGCGGCGCCAGGCCAAAAAAGAAAAAAAAGTTCACCCCTGCCGGTTCCCAAAAAAAGCTTGGCACGCAGTGGAAGGCCACCACGCCCGGGTGTACTGGTGGGCGGTTTAAACTGCAAATACACGCCCCCCGCCTCGTAGTGGAAAAAATAGCAAGTTGCGGGCTCCGAATTTTTCGAGGCTTGGAGCTACCCCCCCCCGACCACAACCACGGGCGGATCGGTTGACCACGATCACTGACGGCGCCAACCAAAAAAGGAAAAAAAAGAAAAAGAAGTGTGGTGCTCGGGCGGTTCAGAAAAGCTTGGCTTGGCGTGCAGTGTAGCGCCTCCAGGCCTGGGTGTACTGGTCGCAGGAAGCACACTCAGTCTGTAAATCCCACTCAGAGATACAAACACAATCTACATAACTTGTTCCAATGCCCACACAGCCGACAGACACAGCTGCCCACATCACAGAATATCTGGCCTTTGGTATGCAGCTGCTTATTGAAGTTCACCTAAAAAAAAAAGCACACTGCAAGAGGCCAGCCTTATTAACACTTCCTAGTATAACTAACACCAAGCTTGAGCATTGTTGCCGCGACATTCCCCATGACATCCTTACTCTTTTTCTGCTGCCCCTCCTCTCCCCCTTTTAACTCTTCTTCAGTCCCTAGAGATTTTCACTCACACAAGCTTCCACAGGCCTGTCTGCTGCAACACTGCCCACATTCCCCATGACACCCTACAATTTTTCTGCTGCCCCTCCTCTCCCCCTTTTAATTCTTCTTCAGTCCCTAGAGATTTTCACTCAACCAAGCTTCCACAGGCCTGTCCCCTTCTGCTGCAACACTGCCGACATTCCCCATGACATCCTACTCTTTATGCTGCTGCTGCTCCTCTCCCTTTGCTTCTTCAGCCTTTGGAGATTCACTCACAGCCTGTGTGGGCCTCTCCCCTTCTGCTGACACGCTGTCCACCGACTCGCTCGTCGCCTTTGCAGCGTCCTTCGTCTTCGCCTCTGCAGCTTCTGCCTGGTCGTCTGCCGCCTCCACCTGCACGGCCTTCGCTTTCTCGTCACTGTTGCGACGATTGCGAAGTTCAGCTATCTTTTCTTGAACCTTCTGCCTCACTGCAAGAACCTCTTCCTCCATTCTCTGGAAAAAGCCAGGAGCTTTCACCTCCTGTGTTTCACTGTTCTCCTCCTTCTCCTTGTCCTTGTCCTTCTCCTCCCCCTCATCCTTCTGCGGCTTCTTCGGTTTCTTCAACTTCTCGACCACACCCTTCTGCCACGTCTCCTGGATCTTCAGCCCCATAGCTGTGGCCTCCTCTTCGATTCGCTGAAAGAAACCGGGAGCCTGCGGCTGAGCTTGGAGGATGGGTTGCACGACAGCCTCCTCCTCCTTAGTCAAATCGTCTTCAGGAAGAGGCGCAGCCGCCGCCGCATTGGCCGACGGAGTCTCAACCATCGCTGAACTCATCTTCGAAAGCCTCTGAAAAGTTGTGACCGCTACAAAATGGCAGGCTGGCAACAAGAAAAGGCACACAAGCTGTGCCGCGCAAGTCCCGGACCGCCAACTTCGACAGCAAAAGACAACGGTCAAGGTCGTGGAAGCCCCAATTATCAGGGAGAAAGCCTATGGAAGGGACGAAGCCTGCTACCAGGAGGAAAGAGGGTTCACGGATCCAAGGATCTCCTTAGTCCCAGTTTCTCCTTTAGTCCCACTTTTCACGTATCTGATGTGAAAGGATCCCAGATATTGTTGGGCCCCTTGGTGGTCCCCACTTCACGTTTCTGATGGCCCTTACAGCTGGCAGAGTCTGAGGCGACTGCGACCACCCAACTTTCAGCCGAGTCGAACTCTGGCATCAGCCAAGATACTGCCATAGAAAACAAATAACATGACAAAGACACAAGGACGACAATTCTCAAAAAAACAATATATATATTGTCACACTGTGAATCCCAGCGCAAAGGCGGAAAAAAAAAAAAAAAACAAGAAAAGGAAAAGAAGGAAGGAAAGCCCAACTTGTTCATCACCTCTTACGTACAAGGCCAGCCACGTGGATGACAGGTCGAGCGCTGGCTGCCCCCATCCCGGTGGGTCACAAGGACCCACTTGCACACAGCCAAAAGGCAAAAAAGAGGTAAAGAAAAGGAGGAGGAAACCAAACTGACAGGGAAACAAAGCCTATCAGTCAAACAAGGCAAATGACACATCCCACAGATAATCCAATTGCCACAAAGCAAATAACACATCCCACAGATCAACATTTTTTTTTTCTTTTTTCTTGTTTTATTCTTGTTTTTTTTTCTTGTTTTTTTTCTTGTTTTTTTCTTGTTTTTTTCTTGTTTTTTTGTTGTTTTGTTCTTGTTTTTTTTAACTCCGTATCTGTCCCCACCTCGGCAGATATGACAGCTACGGTGAGACTGATGTGGATGTTCACAAGGATACCCAAGGAGAGCTGAGCCACCACAGCATTCAGCAGGACGGCTAGCACGAGCCATCCCATCAAAACAGTCCTGACAGAGGACATATTGTCCACATGTCAAAAAAACAGCAGGACGTTCATCACAGTGCGGCATCATACAGTTCTGATAGCGTCCTTGGGCACAATAGGGACAACGTATATCTGGGTAATAGGGATGTGTACAATGAGGAAATGTTGGACACCCTTCAGKACAGACGGCGGCAGTCGCAATAGATTGATAATGGCCATGGCATAGATGATGCATTCCACAGCCAAGGCGCACCGTGTCTCTGTCCCGACACGTGTCACACGAGAGTCGGTCAATAATCCAGAATAAAGTAGGATTCTACAATGCACGCAAAAATTCATTTACGTTGAAAATAGCCTGACTCGTCGTCCCACCATCCCACAGTTCCCACTGGGCAGCTGAACGAATGAGTGCCATATAATGCCCGGGTCTGTGCAAAATGCAGGCAGAAATATGAGGAGGATGGTCATTAAGGTCATCGCCTGGCGTCGCATGATGCATGCATAAGAAGGTGGCGACCGTGGAACGTTAACTGTAAGACATTTACAGTAAAGCCTCCTGAAGATAGTATCGTTACTCCCTACCCTCAGGAGGTGGACTATTATGGTTATACAACAACTGGTTTTCAACAGCGTCAAGCTGATAAGCAATCAGCACAAATTGGGATGCAGTATAACATTGCCGCTGATAAGCCATTGAGGTAGGCAGACATTTGTGGCTGTCAAACCACAAATATTTGGTAGGTCTGCCCGCAGATCCGAATCGGTCACCACTAGAAAGCCAGATCTGATCTGGCGGGGTCGGCGCGTAAATGACCAACGCCGTCGACGTGGCAGAGCAGGCTGCCGGTAAGACAAAGAGCCCCGCAGATTAGCATCAACACGACGTCGAGAAGAAGGGAGACTGGGAGGAGGAGAGAATGAACGAGCCTGCCGACGTCCCAATATGGACAACGAAGATAAGGGAGGGGCCGGTCTCAGCCGGCGTGGGGAAGAAGAAGAAGAAGAAGAAGAAGAAGAAGAAGAAGAAGAAGAAGAAAAAGAAGAAGACGAAGAAGAAGAAGAAGCGAGGAGGAGGAGATGGCAAAGAAGAAGAGGATGCACACAAAGAGGG